TCTCACATTCAACATCAATCCATCAGAAATTCTGTTGACTCCACATTAAACACAGACCGAGGTTCCCCCACATCTCATCACTGCTGTTGACACTACCCTTATCAAATCCATCCTGTCCCTCCACCCATACTCTAGGAGCCCCCTAACTGATTCCCCACACTTCTCCCATGGTCCTGCTCTCAAAGAGCAGCCAGCGTGATTTATTAACAATTTAAAACAGATCATCTGCTCTTCTGTTCAAAACTGTACAATGGCTCCCTGCTTCACAGAAAGCAAAGTCAAGTGATGTGCTCTGGCCCACTTACCACCTCCCTGACCCCATTTCTTGCTGTTGTCACCTCTGCTTAGTTCTGGCAACAACGCCCTCTTTCTTGCTCCTCAAACATCCCAGACATCCTCCTGCCCTGCATTCGTTGCTCCTTCTCCTCAAACCCTCTTTCCTGACAACCTTCTGGCTGACTTCCTCACCTTGGTCAAGTCTTTGCTCAAATTCGCCTTTTTAATGAGCTTTTCCTGAGAGTAGAAGTGGCAACATTCACCCACTGTGTTTTACCATCATTTTAACCCTGACACCCAGATCATTATATTCTAGATGGTATGTTTCTTTATTGCATTTATCTATTATGATTCTTTCCTTTCTAGAACGTCAGCTGCATGAGCACAGGAAGTGCAGGAACTCTGTGTCTTTAGTTCACAGACGTATGCACAGCACCTAGGACGGTGCCTAGCACAGACAGGGACTTGTGTAAATATCTGCGGAACAAGTGAGTACGAGTTCTGTGTAACCTGGGCTGCTGGCATGACCCTTCAGAAAAGGCCTGTATGTGCTTTCACAGGCATCCCAGATTGGTTGATTAGCCTTGGATTACTTTCAGTGAAAATTTCTCTGTACTTTAAAGTTAAACCTCAAATCCAGATCAGACAGGCATTTGATACAAATTCTCAAGGCAGACGTGTTCCTGGCCACCTGGAGCCCAGATGAGACAGAAGCATTCCCTTGTTATCTCCCTTTGATGGTTGGATATTTGGTCTAGAACCCCCTTCACTGTGTAGCCCTTTGAGTGCAGGAGCTCTGTGAAGACTCCATTTCAACCCCCTGCTTTGTGGGCCTCCCTCGTTCTCTAGTCTCCTGTTTCTACCTGGCCACTAACACCAAGCCACTTTGGTTCCAAGGGCAAATGATCTCAGGCCTTCCAGCCCCCAAGAGTACCTTACAATGCTTTCCTTTTCAGCTTTCTCTCTGAATGAATCTCTTTCCTTAAGGATTTCTATTATTTTTCCTATGAATTAAGTGAAGCAGTACTGAATTAAGTGATACAGTATAACGATGCACATTATAATTTATTTGCCATTTCTAGTGGCTTTATATGGAGAGTTCTTTAGAATTTGTAATCAATCATATTTCTGGGCACAGAAGTCCCCATCCTTTATCAGGTCACCGGGGGCTTGCCTCCTTCTCCTGCTTGGTCCCATCAAGATCACAGAATGACCTCTAAGGGGAATTCTTGTCCTCATCTGATTCAGTGTCTAGGCAGATGCAGTAGGGCTGAGAGCCTGTTCTCCCTAAGACTCTGCCAGCCTCTGAGACACCCACTCCTCTGGCCTCTCCACTCCATTGGCTGCTCTGCTCAGGGTCCCCAGGCTGGCTGACCCCTCCGACCTAGATCTAGGTCTAAAATGTTAGATGGCCTCAGCATGATCCCTGCCGCTTCCCTCCTTCCTTCTTCCTGGCTGGTTTCATGCATTCCTAAGACATTTAACAAAATCCACAGCTGATGACTCCCGCTTCTGTCTGAAGGCCAGAGACCCCTCTGAGCGATGACTCCTCATCCAACTGCTCTCTTGACAGCTCTACTTTGTAGTTTCTTTGTCATTTTTTTCTTTTTCTTTCCTTGTTCCCTAATCTAGTTCCAAGACCCACTCTAGCTGCACTGAGTCAGAATTCCAGGAGGTAAGGCCAGGGTTGGTATTTCTTAAAAGCTCTATTTGCAATTCTTATTTTTGCAGGTAATCAGTTTTTACACCATTATTATATATTCCGGTCACTATTTTGATTTAAACCTTTCACATTCATTCAAATCAGAAACTCTATTTCCTAAAATCAACAATCTGTATTGAGAAAACATGCACATGTGTACAGAACAGATCCTACCATGCTCTTCCAGGGACCCGGGAGAGTCTGTTCTGGGTGAGGTGTAAGAACACAGTTTTCCAGTTGCTTCCGGGATTCTAGCAGATGCCAACGTGGTCTTGCTGCAAACCGCTTCAAGCACGTTTCAGCAAAAACCATCAATTCCATGCCAACATTCGACATGAGAGTAGGAAGACACAGGTCGTGGCTCTGGCATCACAAGTTTTCAGAAGGGGCTCATTGCAGCACAGGTGTCTGAGGACGGCCTCAGAACAGGGACCTGCCTCCATCCAGGCCCTCATGCTATAAATAGCCATGGCCACCAACCCAATGTGTGCTGTTAACTCCAAACTGACTAGCTGTTTCAGTAAAATTAAGAATAGAAACGAGTATTTCAGAATACAGTCAGTCCTCCGTATTCATGGGTTCCGCATTCATGGATTCGACCAACCTCAGATCAAAAATATTTGGGGAAAAAAAGATGGCTGTGTCTATACTGAACATGTACAGAATTTTTCTCTTGTCACTTTCCCCTAAACAATACAGTGTAACAACTAATTACATAGCATTTACATTGTATTAATGTTAGGCATTATAAGTAATCTAGAGATGATTTAAAGTATATGGGAAAATATGCATAGGTTATATGCAAATACTATGCCATTTTCTGTCAGGGACTTGAGAATCTGTGGATTTTGGTTAGGTCCTGGAGCCAATCTCTCCAGGATACCTAGGGACAACTGTACTTATTCAGTACACTTTAACTTTGCTTGCTTATTTATATCATTTTGTGAAGGACATTTCTGTAGCATACATTGTATTCATATAGTGGTGTGGTGTGTTCATATAGTATTATATATTCATATAGGAATCCATTACTCCAAGGATATTCAGACATTCTCGTACATTCAATTTCTTTTTGCAATTGGGTAATGGTTATGTTTATTTTAATTCCTCTAATATCTGCTCCTGGTAAATGTAAACAGATGTTTCTAATTATTCCCTTTCAGTGCTGATATATCATACATACAGATGGAGGATTTAGGTTTCACGAAGAGAAGGTGAAATGTTTGTGGCGCCAACAGGAGTCGTGAATGGATGATTTTGGTGGTAAAAATGCCCATATTTGGGTTTGAAAAGTTGACAAACAAACAAGAATTATTACTCAAAAGGAAGAGCATTGTTTTAACAAAGCAAGGACACTCCCTCAGCTGGGAGCTGTGGTCTTGTTAAATTTAAACATAATATCTGACACTATTCATATTCAAATGAGCTTGAAGGAGTTACCACACAGCGACACAGCACCATGGACCAGCCATGCCAACTGGAGGCTATTGAAAGCAAACTTATGTAGCATCCAGATGGTGATTTAAAACAGCACAAGGTCTCTATTCACCAAGGCACTGGTTAGAGCATCAACTATCAAGTTAATTGTACATTTTCCTGATTTTGTGAGTAATGTTGCATATTAAAATACAGGTTTTCCATATGTGAGTTGCCTCCACTTGGATAGCAGCTAGGCTATTTTTAGCGTGAGAACAATAATTCAAAATGTCCTTTATATCTCTCATTCCTTTGAGAGAACTGCACAGCTAGGATTCAGCCACAGTGCAGCTGACTACACAGCCTACAGATAAACTTTCTCCTCCCCGTGAGTTCAGAATTGTGCAAGCCTGATTCAGCTGTAATGTAACCGTGTTAATCAGAACTAGAATTTACAGTTTATAACTGGCCATATAATTAACGGCTGATAATTTAATCAGTCATGATTCACTTGCTTTACATTCACTTTCAAAACTATGGTTACCTAAAATGTAAATATATAAAAGGGTGTGAAGTCACAGAAGCTACAATCCTTTTGGCTGTCTCCTGGTGTGTTCTGACTCAAAATCCAGCACCACGTCCCGAGGAGGCCACCCAGCAAAGCTAAGCAGACCAGTATTAGGGGGTGGCGGACATCTGTACAGAACCTGAGACTCTCTTCTCAGCCCCTGTAGCCTTTATCAAATTTGCCTTTCTGAATAACCACCTGTAATGATCTGATCACCTTCCCATGCAGGAGATGAGCTGGAGAAATGACATCTAGAACTTGGTCACTGTGTGTCCTGACTGCCCAGAGCTCGAGCTAATGTCGGGATGCTGTGCAGAGGGGCCTTGCTCCAGCGACCTGGCATCACCCGCCCCTCTCAGGGATGCCTTCCCCCTGGCCCTGGCCTCGGAGGGCAGAGAGTGAGGGGAGAGGAAAGGGAAGTGACTGGCATGGCTGAGGTTCAAAGATGACGCCAAGGGACAAGGGCACTGAAGGACGAGGGTCCGCATTCCTGTGGAATACAAACTCCTGGTCAGAGAGAAAGTTCCCAGTGTTCATTTTTGCCCCTCCACTGTCCGCGACTGAAGCTGCTGGACCTGACAGGGAGGTCACACCAGCCTGTGGCCAGTTCCATCAGCACTGCCCATGAGCCACACTTCACACGCTGACACCAGTCTACCAGTTAGTGGCTGGGCCAGGGCCAGATGCCACTTGACTTCCCTGACTGTGACAGAGGACAGCTGACAGCAAGACACTGGGTGTTGTGCAGCAAGGAAGAGGCATCTAGAATAAAGAATAGGGATATACAGTTAACCCTTGAACAACACGAGTTTGAACTTCTTGGGTCCAATTACAAACGAAGTTTTGTCAATAAATTAGTAGGCCCTCCATATCCGCGCGGCTCGCATCTGCAACCAAACTCGGATAGAAAACACTCAGAGGCCAACTTTCCCTACCCACAGGCCACTGCCAGACTTGAATGTGCACAGATCTTGGTTTATGCGGGGAGGGGGATGTCCTAGAACCAATCCCCCATGTATATCAAGAGACGACTAAAACATTCAATTCCAACATACGGAAAGGAAAAGATGAGTCTATACGAGCATTAGCTGCACAGTGGCTGACTCCCAGCTGTGCAGTCCCACATAGCCTGTGAAGAAATGAGAAGCAAAAAGGACACTTGGAATTATTGTTTTCACACTAAAAATAGTCTGATTTCTATCCTGTATCTATACCCACCTTCCTATCTCCCTGCATGTATTTACCCACATACATGTATGTATACACACACCCAAAGTAGTGATTGATAGCCACACTGATACATAATTTTTAAATCTTATAAGTTATTTGCCAGAAAGATTATCAGTCAACACACAAACATTGATTAAATAAATTCATTTATTTATGAACTCAGTCATTCAGTTATTGTGTTTATTCATTCATCATTTTCTATTTATTTATTTATTCATTATATTTGCCTCACCAAGTTTATAAAAGAAATACACGTTATGGACTCAGTCCACAGGTATTTGACATTTTTACACAGTCATTCTTTTTGAGCCCCATCTTCTTCCATCAAAATCCTTCCTTTGTTCCCTTCACCCCCACCTGGCTGGTGCCCCAGCTACCTCACACCCAAGTGGTACAGCCCACACCTGTCCCCCTGCCTCAGGCCAGCTTGTTGGGACTGTCCTGCATCCTTGCTGGTCACCCCACCTCCCTCTGGGTTTGCACCTGAGACAGGACAGAGAAGCGTTTCCACAACCCAGCTGCAAGATGCCTGAGGTGCCCTCTGTGTGCCTGGGGACCTCCTGGCACCCTTCACTCAGTGCTCCCTGGGCTCTGACCTGTCCTGCACCTGCAAATCACCTGGCATGGACCGCATCACAGCCAGAGCTGAACACCTGGACTCAAGCATCTCAGGGTTCTCCTTGTCCTTCATGTAAGCTGTAACCTCTGGCTGGCCCACGCCAACACTGGGGTTGATTTCTCTACTCCACTGACATGGCTGGTCTGTCTATAACAGATGCTTACGTTGAGGAAACCTCTGGGCTGCCCCACTCCCCTCCTTGCTTGGCCCCTTCTGTATGTTTTCACCATCTTACAAGCCTTTCCCATCTGTCCTGTCTCACCACAGAGAGCCTCCAAATGACACCCCCCATATCAAGCCTTTTTGGCCTCTGTCTCCTCCTTCATGGGCTTGGTCAGTTCCTCACCTAAAATAAGAAGGTTTTCCTTGGTGACTACCAGCATGATTCCTTTCGACCCCAAGATTTTGTGATTGTCCACGACATCACAGGCCCTATATAACCATTTACCAAGTAGCTGTCCTCCACTTGTGTCATGAAGTGCCCTGTGCCCCCACCCTGGGTTACAGGAGTCTGACCGTAATCATGTCGAAATGTAGCCTCAGGGTTGTGGGATGCTGGAAAGTGGAGGAGCAAACAATGCAAAGGGACAAGGATCAATCCCAGGTGGAACGGCCCATTTGGAGCACATTCACCAGGCAATCTTAAATCCTCAAGGATAGAGTCCCTGAGTACAGCAAACTTTGAAAATAGCAGCTGTAGGCATCAGCCAAAGTGCAGTCTTCAAATTTGAGCAGGAGTGATTTTCACACTGTGGTGTCTTCAGACTCCCTCCCAGTACACAGAGGTCCTCACTGCTGTCATCAGCATCCCTTTGAACAAGGGGGATGTGATAGAACCAACGCTCACCCAACGCACATTCTGTCGGTTTAATGATGGCATGTGTGTGTGTGTATGTGTGTGCATGAGTGTGCATGTCATGGAGGTCCACCCCACTAGTTCTGACATGGGACTAGCCCTATGGATGACCTCAGTCTGAACTCCAAGGTGCATATTTTCTCACTCTTCTGTTACTTTTTCATTTATTCGCCAACAGACATTGCTGATGACCTATACACCATTGCCAACACCTGGGAGAGGGACTGAGGAATCAAAGAGAAATAAGAAAACAAGACACGGTCAGGATCTTGCTCACAGTCTAGCAAAAGAAGAGAACATGTAAAGATGTAAATTGCAAATCCCTCCTTTTTTCATTCACTCCACAAGTATTTAGCGCTTCCTATGGTGCAGACAATGGACATTGTCTACTTTAGCAGGTCTTCATGGAATCCAAGGGGAGAGGCAGACACTGACACATATCCACAGGAATGTCACGCTGTGGGACGTGATGAGGAGTTGAGTGGCTTACTGAAGCAGAGATGATTGAGGATACCCAGGGCAACAAGTAAGGGGAAGGACTTCCAGGTCAAAGGGCCCACTGGACGGGTGGAGGGATAGATGTTTAGACCAGAAGGAGGATTAGTCACTCCGGAATCAGAGGCTCCATAAGGATTTTTGGTTTTGTTTGGAAAGCACTGAGAAGCTTTTGCACATTTTGAGTTTGCACCAAAAATCTCAGTCTTGCTGCTACATGGAAAACGGAGTTAACTGCCTGATATGAGTTGAAGTGTCTTCTCTTCAAATTCTTATGTTAAAGTCCTAACCCCTGGCACCTCAGAGGATGTGACCTTATTTGGAGATAAAGCGTTTAAAGAGATGATTAAGTTACAATGAGGTGTTAGGATGAGCCCTTATCCAAGATGACTGATGTTCTTATAAAAGGGGAAATTTGGAGACAGATTCGCACACAGGTAGAACATCACATGAAGAAGAAGGCAGAGATCGCGGTGATGTTTCTACAAGCCGAGGAATAACAAAGACTGCCCGAAAACACCAGAAGTAAGGAGAGAACACATACTCCCTCAATGTCCTTAGAAGGAACCAACCCTGCCAGCACCTTGACCTCAGACTTCCAGCCCCCAGAACTGTGAGACGATGAATTTCCGTGTTTTAAACCACACAGTCTGTAGTACATTGCTCTGGCAGCCCTAACAAATGGAAGGCTGCTCTCCATGAGGGTGATGGCAACAGCTACACGTGACTGTGTGTGGGAGAAATTTAAGCTGCCACAGGACAGGCCTTGGTGGTGGTTTGTCCATAGGCAGAGGACAGAAGCCATACGCACAGGTGGCCCATAATGAGACCAATTCTATCTCTGGGACACATCAGCATGGGAAGGAGCCACAAAGAAAATTTTAATCTATAGATTTGTAGTAAAATTTACAAATGAGCTAAAAGGACAGATAATGAAAAACACCTCTAATATCTCCATTGTTCCTGCTCTGGTGAGCAGCCTTCTGGTCATTTTCTGTGTGACAGGCTATGTGAACCCAAAGAGTGACTTGTTAACAGAGACTAAACTGTATCTCTACATGCCTGATATTTCAATCAAGAACGTATTAAAAAATTTCTTCCACACTTCAATAATATTCTACCAAATAATGAGATCTATTTTTTAATAGCTTTAGTGAGGTATAATTTACACACCAAAAAAGATTCACTTGTTTTTAAGGGTACAATTAAATAATTTTTTTAGTAACTTTACAAAGTTGTCCATTCATCACCCACAGTCTAATTGTGGTACACATCGTTGCCCCAAATATAAACCACAGGCCCGTTTGCAGCGACCCTCCCTTCATGCTCCATCACCCGAAACAACCACTTATCTCCTTTCAGTCTGTATAGATGTGCCTATTCTGGGCACTACAGATAAATGGAATCCTACGATA